ATTCCTTTTCAACTTTATTTTGTAATACTTGTTGCGTGTTGTCACACCTGGCCAACCTACCTGGGGCAATGACCCACTCATGGCGATTCACGTGGCATTCCTGTCGAGGTGGCACACACTGCCGAGGTGGGCTACATCCTAACTGCTTCGATCCGAAGCCCATCGTTGAGGCTCCTTTTGTCCGAGGCCCATTGACCGAGGCCTACGAACCGAAGTCAGGCTGCTGGTACCTGTTGAGAGCAGTTGAGGCCCTCAAGTGGAAGTATCATGACAAATGGCCGAAGCCCCGAAGCTGATGCGCGAGCCTCTGAACCACAAGGAAACATCCTCCATGGTCGCTTCTCCCAAGAGATCGCCTGCACAGATCTTATTCGAATGATTGATGGAACGTTTGTCATAAGCATAAAGGTCAAGTCTTGTCATTAGCATGGAGGCCCTGCACAAGCAATAAATGCGCCGCAAGCTAGCAAGTTAAACCCCCATACCTAGGAAAAGATGTTTGAACTAAAGAGATGAGGCCACGTGCCACTTCATCCGAGGGCTCCCATTTCATATGTACTACTATAAATACTTCCCTTGTATAATATCAAAGGGCTAATGCAAGAATCAATACAAAGAACTACATTTACTCAACTCTCTCTCATTTTACTTGCAATACATAAATCGAGTTTATACACATTTACATATACATTTATGAACACCGGTTGGTAATTATTGTACAATCGGATAACGAACAACTCGTCGGATTTCGAACGTCATCGTCCCGCGTCGTTGGGCTACTCCTACGCCCTTTGAACCGCTCGTTTTAGACCGTCCACGTGTCTTAGCGTGTTGGACATTCGCCCACGCAAGCGCGGGTGGGACCGACATATGTTGGCGCACTTTTTGGGATCAACAGATTGGCGCCGTCTGTGGAAAACCATATCATGACCACGAGTAACCTTGTGGTAAAAGCTTACTGAAAAACATTTGGGCAACCCCCCTTGAAAAATGATTTGTTCTTGAAAAAGAACAGGAGGAACCCCTATCACTTGGACAAATCTAAGTTTGATAATAGAAAAATGAGTTCTAACGAAGATACTCCCCCTAGGAGGGTAAGAGAAAGCACGAATGTGCCTCCCCAGCCTACTGCCCCAGTAGCTCGGCCGAGACTCCACCACCACCAAAGGAGAGGTGGAATGCGTGCGACGGCATGACTGTCAAGAGAAATGGCTACCATGGCAGCCAACATGAGGGATATTGCCAACCAAAACTTGGCTATGAGGGAGCTCATGGCCCAAATGCAAGGCCAGGAAAGCTTTCCCATTCCTCCATACGCCCCACAGGCATTATCAGCAAGAGGACGAGGTTCAGAGTCATAGGGCTACCTCACCAGACTATGGCCGAGGTGGAAGCCCGTTTGAGAGGAAAGTGGGAGTCGACATTTCCTCCAACTATGCTTCTGGCCGACCCACGGAGGCCCAAATGAGCCACGATGATTTTTCACCTCCATATGAGCAAGATCCAAGACATAGGAGAGCTAGCAGTGTTTTTGACAAAATCAGCCCCGTCGAACCGAGGCTTAGTCAACAGCAGGCTCAACAGCCTCGAACGAGACCACAGCCTCCACCTCCAATGCCCTAGCAGCTGGAGAGAAGGCATGAAAATGCCCCTCGTGCTGCCCTGCCTAGGAGTAGGCCTCAAAGGAGGGAGGAAGAGGCTAGAAACCGACCCGGACCCTCTCACCAACAACCAAGGTACGAGGCCGATGACAACGATTCTAATGAGCAGCAGAGGTCCTGTGACTTGGACGATGATGATGAGAACCTGCCATTCTCAAGAGAACTAAGGGATGCCCAGGTCCCAAGCCACTACGTCATGCCAAAAATACCAAAGTATGATGGGAGAGGCGACCCGGAGAAGCACCTCAACGCTTACAAAACTCACATGAGCCTAAGGGGTGCCACCCCAGCCGTGAAGTGCAGGGCTTTCCACTTAACCCTTAGTGGAGCGGCTAAAATCTGGTATAGCAGGTTGCCACCTGGGAGCATCTGAAGCTGGCTCGAGTTCAAGAAAACATTCTTGAAGCGATTCGCAGTGAGCAAGGAAGGAGAGGCCTCCATCCAGCGTCTCCAAGACATGAGACAGGCACATGGGGAGTCCCTAAAGAGCTTCCTATCACGCTTCACCGACGAGCTGACTTACTGCGTACAAGTCACCGACAGAGAAGCACTATCTGCATTGAGGGGAGGCCTGAACATGAACACCCTATTCTGGAGGGATGTGCAGAATCAAGACCCCACTACCTATGACACCCTACTAGAGATGATGAGAAGGGAGATAATCAATGAAGAATTGATTGAGCATGGGAACAGGGTAAGCAGAGGCCTCCCACCTCCTCAAAGGCAGCGAGGTAGGGGTCTGACCTCCCACCTCATGGACTACCAGATGAACCAAACCGGAAATGAGAACTTTGGACAAGCACTGGCCACCACAACTCTGAACGTGGTTCCTACCTTAGCATATGAGGATGTCAACCCAATTGCTGACCCACATCAGATGGAGGCCCAGCGGGGACCCCGCAGAGGGAGAGGCCGAGGCCGAGGCTTTGCACCTAGAAATAGGTCCAACCCGAACCTTCCAGGATATTGTTCGCACCACAGGTCCTACGGGCATGACACCACGGATTGCAGAGACTATAAACACCGCTCCCGGCAGGAACCCGCCAGAGACAGATATGATTCGCCCCAGGCGAACAGGCCCTCGCCTAGGCACGACAATCGACGTGGGCGTGAGGAGGCCGCTCCCCGTCAAATGGATGAATCCCCGCGACGAAAGGAGCATGATGTAGAGAGGCCCAGGGAAGGGCGTAGGCACCGAAGAAATCGGTACGCTCAAGGTGAGGCCCCTATCCACGAGGTTGATACCATATTTGGCGACCCTTATGTTGGTGGTGAAACACAAAACGCCAAAAGAAATTATGCTCTGGAGGCTAAACACCCCCCTTTGACGAGTTACATTGTGGACAATAGCTCCCGAAGAAA